ACTAGCTGCACTATGGTCAAATACCACAACTTCCCAAGGCTTAATTTTTTTCACCTATAAAATGAGATAACAATACCTACCTTAAGAGAATTTGGAGAAGTAAACCATTTAGCAAAGCAGATGTTCAGGAAGTGTGAAGGGCTTCTCCCCACACCCCCAACACCCTCCATCATTTACCATTCACACAGCACTTGACAGTGTATGTCATGTCTCCTCAATTAGATTGTAACAACTGGAACTTAAGGACAGGAGGGGAATTTCTTGCATCTTTCCGTATTTTGAACACCTGCTAATGTCCTTTAGTAGACACAATAGAGACACAATAAAAACTGAGAACAATGAAGTCACATTCACAGTGGATTACAGTAACCAAGTGTAAATGGTGCCAAGACTAGAATCATAAATTTTCATCCAATTTAGCTATAGAATTGTTACATGGCACCTCTGTAATTTCACTCATGCCAAAGGCTGAGTTCAATAAATGACAGGGTAAATAGAGACAAATCAATTTCTTGAGTATACCAGTTAATAAGCAGTCCTTGGTAGTAACAGTAAAGGTAGCTTAATATAAATGTTACAGTATTCAAAAGCCTTGCCTACCTGTATTTTGTTCCTATGTATTTTTATGCAAAGATTTCCTTTTGCATGTTCTTTGGCTTGATGTAATTGTAACAGAGTTCCCTTACCACTTGCTAACTAACTAAAACTAGACTGAGATTTTTATACAGGGTGTCCATAGAGTTCGTGTGCAATTTAAAAGAGTTCACTATGTTTATACCTCAAATTCATGTCTTAAACCAAGCTTATCTTCTCCTTAAAACCTTACTTCACTATTCTTTCATTGCATGCTCACACAAACACACACACACACACACCCACACACACACCCTGGGCTGTTAGAATCCCTCTGTGCACCCTGACCATTGCTCAAATAATATCAAGCCTTCAACATCCCCCCTGAAGTTACTGGAACCATTTTTTTTGGTCCTATCCTGATTTAACATAGCCTTTCTTTACTGTGTGTTATCTTCTTGAAGAATCAATTCCCATAGTTGGTTTCTTTTTTTTCTTTTAACTACTGCCCTACTTACATGTGCTAACAAGTTGGAAGAGCTGCAATTTGTTGGGTAGTAACCTCCATTCCAACAATCAACATTTGATGAATGCTCCCAACCACATTCCCTTTCCCCGCAGAAACTATCTTTTGTAGGGAAAGAGAAGTGCAGCTATACATTTAATTTGAAAAAGCTATTACCCATGGAAGAGTGTGTGCCCAATCCTTACTCTTTCGTGCTTCCAAGCTTGTTTTGTTTTGTTTTGTTTTCGCATTTGGAGAGGTTTAAGGTAAGAATGAGAGCACTCAGTTGTATCAGACCAAATCCACGAGAGCAGAGAATGTATGTACGCATTGGTACAGCAGGAAAAAGCAAGGAGTTAAAAGACTAATCTTCTAATTGCAGTTCAACAACCTTTTATATACAGTATCTTTTGAAAAAAAAGTCATAATCTCTCTCAACTTCAACTTCCTCCTCTGTAATTGAGAGATAATCTCTGCAATCTCTAGCTCAGCATTTTGTTCCAAAGAGTTTAAAACTACATTAACACAAAAAGCATTACATAATTATGAAATATAAGTGAACATATACATATAAATATTTTTAACAACAGCAATATCATAGCCTGTGGGTAGATATAAAATAATTTTCTGTGATATATTAAAGTCCCAGTTAAATCCTTCGCTTAGACAACCAAATTCTATGCACACTATATGCAATAAAATGTGGAGATTTTTCTCTGAAACAGAACCTACCTTCAGAACATATGTGCACAGTCTAGTTTACAATGTTTACAGCAAGCACCACTCTCTAATATGGATTTATGTTCTTGCAAGCAAATTTTTACTTAACAATTATAACATACCCAGATTTCTCCCCCTTTTAGATCATAAGAACTAATGTAAAGTTCTGCAAGTTAGTTCTTCAAACTCTGTATTAAGAATTTCTACATACGGCATATGGTCATCACATAAATCTTAACTACAATGAGTTTAAAAGTGCAAAATAATCCGAGATGACATTATGGTTTCAGAATCCTGGATGTTAAAATAATGCCAATGTAAAATTAAGATTCCTCAATCATTACTCACTTCCAATTTTCTAGGCAAAATATCAATATGCAGCATTTTCTTTCTCCAGAGAAATTAAGATCCCCTTCCAACATACACACACACACATTGTCCTAAATCGTACTTTAATAGCTTTAACTTTTCTAAATGTGACAACTATTGAAAGTCACTAAGTTTTGGGCATACATAGTTTGCTTTCTTTTTGCTTGCCTAGAGTCTTCTACGAGATCCTTAATATACCATGATTCGGACAAAATTTATGCTATTTGATGTTCCAATTAATGAAAACTATTTAAAACATAAACTTGAAAAATCCTAACTATAAATTTATAGCTGAAACGTTTTTTCCCAAAACTTTGCAAACATTCTGTGCAATATGAATTGCTGCTGAGAAAAAATATGGATTTTAACAGTTGCTCAATGTTCTTCAAAGGGTAAAAAGCATACTAAAACATATGCCCATCTGAACTCCACCCATTTTCAATTTCAACATAGCAAACCTTCTGTTTGTTCTTTTGAGCAAATCCAAAACCATACATATTGGGATCGGTTATTACTGGAGATAATTTATGCAATCATCAGCCAAAGATGCTAAGTTGACAGAAAGAAAACCATCCCAGTAAGCAAACCCTAACACACGTGGGACACACCCTTCCACCAGTAAGAACATATAAAGGCTCGGTAGTGTCCTTGGTAGCAACACTCCCTGGGCTAAACAGCATCACCATGTCTGTTCGATATTCCTCAAGCAAGCAGTTCTCTTCCTCCCGCAGTGGAGGTGGGGGGGGAGGATCATGCCGAATTTCAAGCAGCAGAGGCTCCCTTGGTGGAGGCTTTAGCTCAGGGGGGTTCAGTGGCAGCTCTTTTAGCCGTGGGAGCTCTGGAGGGGGCTGCTTTGGGGGCTCAGGTGGCTATGGAGGATTAGGAGGCGGCTTTGGCGGAGGCGGCTTTGGTGGAGGCAGCTTTGGTGGAGGCAGCTTTGGTGGAGGCTATGGAAGCAGCAGCTTTTCTGGGGGCTTTGGAGGAGGTAGCTTTGGGGGAGGCAGCTTTGGGGGAGGCAGCTTTGGAGGAGGCTATGGTGGTGGATTTGGAGGAGATGGTGGCCTTCTCTCTGGAAATGAAAAAGTAACCATGCAGCATCTGAATGACCGCCTGGCCTCCTACTTGGACAAAGTTCGGGCTCTAGAAGAATCAAACTATGAGCTGGAAGGCAAAATCAAGGAATGGTATGAAAAGCATGGCAACTCAAACCAGGGACAGCCTCGTGACTACAGCAAATACTACCAAACCATTGACGACCTTAAAAATCAGGTAAGGAACATTTTAAAACCCAGCTTTCAATGTGTTTCTTATCTATGCAATCCAGATAGATGAATCTTAAGCACAAGGTGGGTGTTTGCTGTCTTTACCTATGCTACTTTCTTGCTTCCAAAAATAATCTAGTCTCATCAAAGGTAAATATTTGTGAAGGCATGATCATGGCCATCTTCTAGCATGTGTGCTGCTTATCTTCTAGGATGGCAGATTACTGATAACCTTTTGGATTTTAATGAACATATAATGAGTCCACAGTTAAAATATGCTAGATCATTTATAAATGCAGAAACTGAAAAAAACGAGTAAATAAATCATAACCAAATATTTCTCAAGCTGATAACAACTATTCAGTACCAACACTGCAAAAAACATAAATTCTCCAGTGTGAAAACTGGGATGCTTGTCTCTAGAGAACTTGTGAATTGTACCTCTTATGTACCAGCTCAGAGTACACATATTTAATTAGAAGTACATATAACAAGTTAAACAAGTACAAGAGTGAGTCAGCCAAAGGTTGGTAAAATACATGGAAATCACACAGTATAAAAGAGGGGAACACACACTTTCAGGAATACATCTATATAATTCTAGTTAATTTTTAGAAAGAGAAGACACAAAAACAGAAGAGTAAAGAAACTCTAAGAGCACAAATGATTCCAATTTAAGTATATGGGTAAGCCTGAAATATTTCATATTTAAAATAAAAAAAATTCTCCCAAGATTTTTAAGAGAACAACATAAAAACAGTTGATGCCACTATAAAAGCTATATCTACATCTGATCTCTTTTACAATAACTGTGCCTCTCCCTCCAGATCCTCAACCTAACAACTGACAATGCCAACATCCTGCTTCAGATCGACAATGCCAGGCTGGCAGCTGATGACTTCAGGATGAAGTAAGCTAAGTGAATGTGGTACAATACCATCACAACAAACACATCGGTTGTTTTTTTAACAATGACTTTAGATGCGTTTCCATTTTTCTGAATTCATCCAAAGTTAAGTAGTATCGGAGTTGCCTGAGAAATTTTCAATTTTAGTATTACCTTTATGGCAACATTAAAGGAAGAAAATACATTTTAAAGTAACCGCGACCCTTTCTTGCATTAAGCCATTAATATTCCTAAGTGAATTAGCATATGATAAAAGTTGCTATGATATGTGACCAACTCTATATTTGCTTTTTAAACAGTCTCTGCCCAGATACATCTCCCTTATAGAAGTTATATCCAGTATTTTTGTCATGCTTGTTTCAGGTATGAGAATGAGGTAGCCCTGCGCCAGAGTGTGGAGGCTGACATCAATGGCCTGCGCAGGGTGCTAGATGAGCTGACCTTGACCAAGGCTGACCTGGAGATGCAGATTGAAAGCCTGACTGAAGAGGTGGCCTACCTGAAGAAGAACCATGAGGAGGTGACACAAAAGTTATACATCTTCCAGCCAGCAAAGAGTTCATTGTGGTCATGTGTAGTCATTAAATCTTTCTGTTCTTTAAATAGGAAATGAAAAACCTTGGAAATGTTTCCACTGGTGATGTGAATGTTGAAATGAATGCTGCTCCAGGTGTTGATCTAACTCAACTTCTGAATAACATGAGAAACCAATATGAACAACTTGCTGAACAAAACCGCAAAGATGCTGAAGCCTGGTTCAATGAAAAGGTTAAGTTCATCTTCCTCTATAATGAAGCTCATAGAAGTTTTGTTATCATTTCAAAATTTTCTCATCTTTTTTCCTGATTTTAATATTCTAGAGCAAGGAACTGACCACAGAAATTGATAATAACATTGAACAAATGTCCAGCCATAAATCTGAGATCACTGAATTGAGACGTAATGTTCAAGGTCTGGAGATAGAACTACAGTCCCAACTGGCCCTGGTATGTTAACTCTCATGAAATGACTTCAACTTTACCATACCAAGTTTCATGCTCATGTAAAATTATTTGATGCAAGAAAAAAAATGCAAAGTTGGGAGTAAGAAAGAAAAAAAAACTGAAGATATATGTTCGTGAAGGAAAGTACTATTAGTATTGATCTAAAGCTACTGAAATTAAAATGCTGCCATTAAACATAAAACACAAATTCTATTCATTGTTTATTCTTCCACACGATGTCTTATTAAATAATTAAATAGGCTTCACTCTACTCAATTGAACAATGAGGTCACTAAGCCACAATAAAATCCTCTTTTCAGAAACAATCGCTGGAAGCCTCCTTGGCAGAAACAGAAGGTCGCTACTGTGTGCAGCTCTCACAGATTCAGAGCCAGATCTCTTCCCTGGAGGAACAGTTGCAACAGATTAGAGCCGAAACCGAGTGTCAGAATTCGGAGTATCAGCAACTCCTGGATATTAAGATCCGACTGGAGAATGAGATTCAAACCTACCGCAGCCTGCTAGAAGGAGAAGGAAGGTAAATCTGAAAACTGAAGAATTACCCCAATGACTTTTATCTCAGTGTTCTACATAGGAAGGAAACCCCAAGGAAACGCTAGAGAATGGGAGGAAACGGGGAGAAGGGAGAGGGCAGGTACAGAAAAAGGAATGTGCAACCGCAGCCTCGCTTTCTCACGAATTTGGCCCGAAAATGATTCTTAGGGTTGCGTGTATTTAAAATTGTTTTTAAAGGACGGGTTTTAAAATGCACGCTGCGCACTACTGCATTTTCTCAAAACATGTTTTGCTGAAGTAGCAATAACCTA